AAAATACTAGGTTTAAATATTAATTATTCGAATTAATTAATATTAAACCAATTATGATTTATCTTTATATTTTAATTAAACAATTAATTAAATAAAATTAAATCATTTAAAATTAAATAATTATTTCAATTAAACAATTAATAAAATAATTCAAATTTAATCATGATCCAAAACCCTTCTAATTTTTGAAATTAGGGTTTTAGGGTTATCATGTTTTAATTGTTCAAATTTTAAGGCAATTAAAATAATAATTAAGGAAAGTAGAAAACCCTAAGGGAACCCTATAATTTTCAAAAATAGGGTTAAGGAGGCTAGGGTTTCAAGGAACCCTAGAAAAGTCGAAATTCTCAAGGCAAAGGGTTTATTTTTTATAAACCCTAATTTGATTCATTCAATTTTATGCACAATCAATAGAAAACAGTGGTCCTGATATCACTGATGGGTTTTATAGGCTATTAAAATACATATGAAGCGAAAATCTTAACCCTTAACTTCACATGCAACCTATATAGGATCTATGTTTTCTCTAATTGATAGCAATAAACAATAAATATCAAGAACCCTATTGAAATCGAAACTCATAGGTTAAGGTTTACATACCTTTGATTTATTATTGCAAATAAATCCTTGATCCAATTCTTGATTTCTTCAGAAAGTCTAGCACCAAAAGTTTGATTTCTCTAATGGTTTGTACCCGAACCCTAGCAATTAGAAGACTTGAGTAGAGAGGTGGAGAGGGAAGAAAATCGGTTATTCTCTTGGGAGGAAGGAGTGGACGAAATCCATTGGCCAAGGGGTCTTATTTATATCTGATACAAGGAACCTTGGAAACCCTAATTTGAATATAATATTAATATTTCAATTAGGTAATTATCTAATCTCTTAATTATCTATAAGGAATAATCTAGATCCTGTTAGGATCCTTCCCAGAATCGTTCAAGCCCTAAAAGGTTTTGAAATTCCTTCTTGTTCAACTACTGAACAGTTACAGCTTAAGTCCTTACACTTTTAGTTAATCCAATTAATCTTAAAATTAATTCCAATTAATTTCTTATTAGTTCTTAATTAAATAATACTATTTCTAATTAATAAAATCATATAATATATAAACAAATCATTTATTACTATTTATTAATCAATCTCTCTCTCCAAATGTCATTCTGCACAATTACTAGTTACGAGGGTAACCCAAAAAAGACTTTGTTTCAGTTCAAGTATATATCAATTTATTTATGATCATAGACGCCTTAATCCAACAGAATTTTCACAACTTCTTGAAGCATAACGTAAAAATCATAGAATGTATATTACAATTATGACCTTGCCTAGCGGCAAGAAAGATTTGTTCTACAAGTAGATGTAGTAGCATAAGTCCAAAACGTTATGTCTTGACGTCATACAATATTTCCGACTAAGGTGCATTATAGGGGACTATCCCCCGGCCTCCCAAACAAAAGGATGGAAGATGGAAGCACAAAAGAACAGAATGATAGAAAAGTAAAATATCTTTCATCATGCATAGTAACAAAGATTCAACAAGAATATATCTTATATTATATTAGTAAGACTAGTAGATACCATCTAATATAGTATTATCATGTCTTCTTTTCCTTCAAATAAAGACTTCTCTAAACATTCCAGGCAAGCCCTATCCACTCTCTTCTCTCCCTTAACACGCACTCTTCACAGTCGGCTCCTTCCCGCTAGGAGGAGTCGACCCACTTCACATCGCGATCTAACTTGATCGCCGAAGCTTGCTCACTGTACCCTGGGACAAGCCTAACAGTCTTCTTTCTTGATGTTCAGGTTTTATAGTCAAAATCTAACCATAACACACACCCACCAGACCATGAGCTAGAAGCAAGACCCGGATAACTGGCATACGTATGTATATATGTATGTATGTATGTAAACATATAAACTTGCATTGGAACACAGTTTTGTACTTTTAACTAATATCAACACGAGCAGATTGAGTATGGAAAAGTATAGGCACATAACACAAATCTTTGCTCAACGACACTGAAAAGCCATTCTTGAGTATGGAAAAACACAAATCTTTGGTGAACAACAGTGAAAAGCCATTCTTGGAGTATATGATTCTATTACACGCACGCTTTCTTTTAGTTGTCTCTTTTGTATTAAGAAAAACCCCTCTATACAATCGTATTCATCTACATACTGTATTACGCAATTTTCCTATACTCAACTTTCACCTCGTGTCTCACCTTTCTCCTGTAAATTCTACACCACCCCAAAAAACTCATTAATCACTTAAAAATATAAAAAAATTAAAATTAAAATCATATAATAAGTATTATGTACCTGAAGTTCCTTGAGAAATGTTACTAATTCAACTTTGATTTCAGAGAAAGAAGGGCGGTTGACAGGATCAGTTTCCCAGCATCTTTGCATCAATTCCAAAAGCTTTGGGTGTGTATTTGTTGGAAGATCCGGTCGACGCCCCTGATCAAACATATAAAAATACAAATTTTATTTTAAAATTTGGAAAATAGTCGTGTTGTATACTTTTAATTATTTATTATATTGATAAATGATAAGAAAAAAGATAATGGAAAGTAGAGAGCTACGTCTACCTGTCTTACTCCCAAGGCTGCTTGCAATGGTGTCATGTTATCGTAAGGAATCTACAAATAATTATTGGTTTAGTAGTAGTCAAATGACGTTTTTGCCCTTTTAAGAAGTGAAATTTTACCTTGGCTGTGACGAGCTCCCACAAAACAATCGCGAAACTGAAAACGTCTGCTTTTTGATCATATGGTTGATGATTTATGACCTCGGGAGCCATCCATCGATATGTTCCAGTCTCAGCTGTCATAACTCCCTCTTGATTTTGAAAGCGCGCAACCCCAAAATCAGCCACCTTTACAACCTAAACAAAACATTCAAAATATGTGACAAAAATTAAAGTCATTAAAAAAAAAAAAAAAAAAAAAAAAAAAAAAAAAAAAGACTTACATTATTACTGTCCATGAGCAAATTTGCAGTTTTGAGATCCCTATGAATGATATTGCTCTTGTGTAGATACTCCATTCCTTTACAAACATCTATAGCAAACTGAACTAATTGGGGAAGGGACAAGTTGTGGTGGTTTTTATGTAAATATTCATAAAGGCTGCCACCTGGCATGTATTCTGCAAACGACGATGTATATATTTTTATTAAATGCTTAGAAAAAGCTTAGAATTATATAAACAACAATTTCTAGTTCTAAAAGAAGTTGATACCTGTTATTATGCACATGTTAGGCTGCTTTGTACAAGCACCAATAAAACGAACAACATTTCTATGACGAACCTCCCTGTAAAAAGCAAACAATTATTAAAAAAACAATAAAACTGTTGATTTCTCTTTCATTGCCTATTAATACAATGAATAAAAACAATACTGTATCAATTTCTTATTATTATACTTTGAAAATTTTACCAATATCACTCAAATATAAAACAAATTTCATTGCTATAAGAATGTAAAATTTTCAAAGTATAATGCCTAAATAAGAAAAAGATGAATAAAAAGCAGGATGCTATTTGTTGCTTTTGAAGTGTGATATTTATTGTTTGAGTAAATTACACGAATGGTCCCTATGGTTTAGGGTAATTTGCACGTTTGGTCCCTAACTTATTTTTTTTAATTCGGAAGGTCCCTACTGTTTGTTTTTGTTACGCGTTTGGTCTCTGTCTTACCTAAAAAGACTATTTTGCCCTTGATTTTTTAATTTATTTAAATAAACAGACCCCCAACCCCACCCCCTCACCTTACCTTACCTATCCCACCATTTTTCCCTATTTAAATAATAGTCATTTACTCTTTTTAGGTAAGACAGGGACCAAGCGCATAACAAAAACAAACAGTAGGGACCAAGCGCGTAACAAAAACAAACTATAGGGACCTTCCGAGTTAAAAAAATAAGTTAGGGACCAAGCGTGCAAATTACCCCAAACCATAGGGAGCATTCGTGTAATTTACTCTTATTGTTTTGATAAAAAAAAATTTACCTAAGAATAGTAACTTCATGTGAAAATTCATGCTCCAATGCTTCATTCAGGTGCTCAGATCTAAGAATTTTGACAGCAACTTCCTGACCAACATACACACCACGATGCCTTGCCAAGAATAAAAAGAGAGAAAGAGAGAATATTCAGAGTTAAACTAAATGAAAGCAATAATAATAATAATAATAATAATAATAATAATAATAATAATAAATAAATAATGGACTTACAGATCACCACAAGATCCAGATGCAACTTTTTCTCCAATTTTGAGTAATCTTATATCTATCTCTGTATCTACAAAACTAGCTTCAGCAGCTACTGCTCTCTCTATTGCTGATTTTGAACGTTTAGAACCCGACCATGAACCCTACAAAGTTAACAAAAGTAAATACATATTTCATAGAAATAAAGATATATATATTAATAAAAAAAATAATATGAAGTACCTCACTCCTAGCAATTGCTCTCTCCATTGCTACATGTAGAGCCTTTGTTTCCTGACAAGAATATAATAACATTCAGAGTTTCAGACCTAAGAGATGAAGAAAATAACAAAGCAAATTGTTATAAATATTACCTGAAGAGGCCAACCATCAACCACAAACACATCTAAAGAATAGCCATCAGTTGTTGAAAACACATGTGCTTCACGTATGTTGAGTCCTATGTCAGAAAGCAAAGCTGAAAGCTAAAGGAAAAGAAAACAGGTTAAAAATAAAGGCCACAAAATAACATCATAGATATATGAACTCAGCAACAAGAATTGATACCTGACTAAGGAGCTTAGGCTTATCAACAGCTGAAAATATCACTTCATGAATAGGAACATGGATATCATCCTGCCTGAAAAACATTCACCACATGTCAACTTATTCCCTTCATCATAAAAAAGTTCACAAATTATGAGGAATAGAGTGTATAGTGTATACACAAGATATCTCATATATACAATACCTTCTGAAAGAGTCTCCATCAAGATTCTCTTTGACCTTATCAAGAGAAGTTTTTCTGACCTCCAAGTTTAAGTCCTCAAGTTTAGAACAAGCTTCAAAATCCATCTCAGGCTTTCTGTCATGTGATAACTCAGGTCCTACAGTTAATTCTTGTTGCTCTTCATCTGCTTGAGTCCCAAAGTTCTGTAAACTCAATTGTGGAGCATAAAAAGGTAAGATATAATGTTTATTAGGTTTATAAAAGCCACACACAAAGATAGATAACATTCATAATGTTATGTATAAAACATTACCTCTAAAAAGCGAACATGAAAAACAGGTCTATTCTCAGGGTCCTTTGCTAAAACAAGGAGCTTCTGATGTAGTAATACATCTTCAACTCTATCCAAGTTGATATCCAGGGCATAACTGGCACAGATAAAACCAAAAATTTATCAATAAATGAAAATGTTTCTCAATATGTACAGAATTAAATTGATACTCTGTTTTCACATCTGCTACAGAAAAATTGATTGTGAATTGGCTTAGTATCATGTTCATAATAGGAATTACAATAACACAAAGATTGAAAGTTGGAATACAATCAGTAATATCAAAGAAACATACTCATTTGGTATTTAAATAACAATTATCCTAAAAATATCTGGATATTAATAGATAAATAAATGTATATGCGTGTTTACTAAAAATAGAGTATACAATAGCCAAAACTACAGTGTCATTAGTGTCACTGGTTCACGGCATCTTCTTTTACACATGATAAATGATTCAATCTACAAAGTAGATTGAAAAATCCACTTCAAACAGGAATTATCAACAAAGACATAATAAAGTGGAACAAACGCATTAGAAACCTACACGCAAGCACTACTTTAGAGTAATATAAGTGATTAATCACCAAATTCTATTCCCTTCGATCGAAGAACAAGTGAACAACACATTGACAACACTTTCCCCATATTTACATTGTTAAGCTACCTCCACAAAAAATTCCATGCGAAATAAATAAATGAAAACTATATGCTTAATCATATTCAATATAATAATGCGCTAAGCGCATTATTACACACTCAAGAACTCAAGAATCTGCAGATGAGAGATTATCGAAAAAGGAGATACGAATTGATAATCTAAATATACCTAGCAGGTAATCGATTGAAGTGAGCTTCCAATTGATCACGAAATTCAGGATGAGCGGTAGCCTCTTCGTTTCCAATCTCCAGTAACCGATTATACACATCATTCACTATCTCGTTGCCGCTGAAACCTCCAAAACTCCTCGGCGGTGAAGAGCTTTCACCAACTCCTTCAACTAAATCCATCACTCCACAAACTGTTTCAATGTACAACCTTACTCCATACGTAGAGCAATATCTATATCAAGTACGATGAAAGAAAGTGATCGGAGAATATCTTCTCCGGCGAAAACGAGAGTAAGTCTGGTGGCGGTGGCGGTGGGGGATCTTTGACGGTGTGTTGACGGAATCTAGGAAAAAAGAGGGTAAGTTTGTACTTTTAGATGAGTTCCAAGGGCAATTTGGTCAGCCATTAGAGGTCTTTCTCCATTTGAAGAAAAAACTTTGAAAGGGGGTCAGGCTTTTTGAAGGAGGGGGCTAATGGTTTTGTCACTGTGTGTTTTGGTGAAATGTGTGAGAGAGAAAGTGAAATAAAAGTGGAGTGGATAGGGTTGGGAAGTTTGTTGAGAAGTGAAATGACGTAAAAGGGTAACGGATTGTTAAGATATTACGAAGAGTGGCAAAGGTGTTGAGTCAAAGGATTTGAGAGTATAAATTGAGTGAGATTCGATGAATCCATGGGAAGGGCGATTTGGTAATTATGATATTGAAAGAATTTTTGGGGCAATAGGAATTTAGAGGCGAATTAGATCATGCTTTATAGGAAGGTAACGCCAAACGGGGTGTGCATTTTCCAGAGGAATGATAGGGTGACAGTATGTTTCACAGGTTCGATCTTTTTAGTGGAAGATCTTTGAGTTGGCTTGCATTACTTTTGTTTTACTTCTAACAAAATATTTACTTTTATTTAAAAAATAAATTATCTTGTTTTTATAATTTATAATTCTGCTTTGATTAATCAAATTGCAATACTTATAAGTTTATATAAAATTTAAAATATAATGATAAGCTTAAATTTAATATATATATATATATATATATATATATATATATATATATATATAAATTTTAAATCTAACTATATAATATAATCATAATAAATGATATATTGATGTCATTTTCCTCTTTTTTTTATTATTATTATCTTCTTCTCATAAAGTTTATTTATCATGTGCAATAAAAACAAAACGTGATCAATAAAAAAATTTATATGTATCAACAATCATAAAATTATTGATTAAATAAATAACAATTCGCTAAGATATGAGGTCATATGTGTCTTAATGCGATACAAAAGGTTCAGTTTTCGAGCTTTCGACCTCACTGAACGAACTTTAGGCCTAGTTTTGTGTGGAAAGAATAGATTCTTAAGGCTATATGTTGGGTTATTAAACTAATATGTGAAAATAATTTCCTAATTTTAGGAAAAGCTTTAGAATTTATACTTTTGACTATGGTTGTTAAGATCCCAATCTTAATCTTAAGATCTTATGATTCTAAGATTCTATAGCGAAAAGTGATCTCGGTCACATTAGGATCTAGCAAGATCTATATTGGGATCTTAGAATCCATACTAGGATCTTAAGAACTTAATATGATCCGATCTCACCTCTTTAGTTCTATTATCTAGTTGAGTCTCAAAAATCGTTTATTCAACATGAAAACGAACATTATGAGTTGCAAAAAGTCTTGTAGAGTATCACCACTTCATTAATGTATCTCGAATTAGACATAACACACTAATGATATTACATTTGTGATCTTATGCATTTAGTTACATGATCACAATGATATCGTTTTTTCTAATTAATATGTTTTCTTTCTAATTCTTATGGTTTAAAACAACAAAAAACTATGGTTTATGTTTAGCAAGTTAAAGTTGATTCCACTATCAACATTTGAATCAACATCAAATTATATAATGTTTTGTGAGTAAATTTGAATGTGTTCATTTCGTAGGATCTTCTGATCCATGTCCGATCTTACGGTCACGATTTTGCAAAACATAAAACGATCTTAGGTAAGATCTCGGTATTGACAACCTTGCTTTAGGCATTAAAAAGAAAAAAAATGTGGGGTCAAATCATTTTATGATCTTACAATCCTACATATCATCATACGATCGTAAATCAAATCTTATGAAAATTGATCCAATTGTTATTAGGATTGTGTTCTCTTGTAGGGTTGTAGGATCTTAACAACGTCGATCCATCCAATAATTTATGTTATAGAATAATTGATATTGGTAACGAATATAAAAAAAGAATCTTTTAAAATGGTGCCAAAAGCTATATATACAAATTTGAACATTAGGAAGTATCAAACATTAACGATAGAGTGATTCAACCATGAATCTTATGTTTATAGGTTGTCACTGATTGTTATAGTGAATCTTTGTAATTGTTGCATTTTGATTTATATATCAAGAAAGTTGTTATATTTTGTGAATTAAGGATATTTTATATAACAAAAATACTAATGATTATTTAGGAAATATAATTTATATATATATATATATATATATATATATATATATATATATATATA